GAATGCTGCAATGGGCATGTACATCGCAAAAAAGACTCAATGAGAAGTAGGCCTGAGCCCATGGTAGTGCAGCTTGTACGCCGCACAGTGAGATCCCTATTTACCACACAGGTCACTGAGTAGTGGCATATCGCGTACTATCCTACGCGCTCTCCCTCTCAATGGCCTAGGCCTTCTGGTATTTCCTCCCACCGGTTGTGGGAAGGTTTTTTATTGAACCTTCCCTAAACTGGCTTTTTCCTTCCCCCTATTTTCCTTCTTTTTCATCTTTTCTTTTATATATTATGGTTTTGCTTTTCTTTTCCACCTTCTTTCAATTTCGAATTTCACGAACCATTTAAAACTTGCTCACTTTGTAAAAACTTGGGCACGTTTTTAAAATTAGTGAACTTTTTTCAAACCATTGAATATTTTTCCAATAATTAATAATTTTCAAATTCATGAACATATTTATCAAATTCATGTACTTTTTTATATTTGCAAAAAGATCAAATTCATGTACTTCTTTCAAACTAAGCAATTTTTGAATTTTCAAACCTTGTTGAAATTCAAAAACATTTTTTTAATTCATTAATATTTTTCGAATTCATGAACATTTTTACAAATTTATAGACTGTTTTTGTATTGGCGAACTTTTTTGAATTCACGAACTTTTTTAATTTGAGAACATATTGTCAATGAAAGTACATTTTTTGGACTCCTGAACTTACTTGAAGTCGAGAACAGTTTTCAAATCTTGATTTATTTCTGAAATTTGATTTTCGTTTGAACCCAAAATCTTTTTAATGAAGAAAAAAGAGAAATAAAAATGAAAGGAAAAAACTGGTGCGCATCCCCGCACATGTGCCAGCCCATAGCGCTAGCAAAAGGCCCCGGGGTGCTGAAAACCTATATCTTGCTTGCAGCGGGTGGTCCTTCCTTCTTATCTGAAGCATTTTTCTCCGCTTATCACTCTATGTTTCACGATAGTTTTTTCCTTGTCTTTTCTCTGGGCTTTTCGTATTTTTGATAGTTTTCACTGGTTTTTCTGCTCTTTCTTATTTTTCTTCATTTTTGTTTGTATCTTTTTTGGTTTCATTGGTTTCTTTTTTGCTTTTCATTAGTTTTTTTCTTCATTGCTTCGTTTTTCTTCCATTATTTTTTTGACACATGTCAACTTTTCTCAGTACACATTTAACATTTTTGGTATACATCATGAACATATTTTATATACACATTCAAAATTTTAAATTACTTGATTAACATTATTTTGAAAACATGTTCTTATCTCTACTTTTTCGATACGCATCGTACATTTTTTAACATATGTAATACATTTTAATACAAAATTAACATTTTTAATATACAAGATTAACATTTTTTAAATACATGGTTAACACTTTTCAATACATAGTGGACATTTCTTTAATAGAAATAAACATTTTTTGGAGACAGAATGTGCATTTTCTGCTTACGTCAGAAACATTTGAATATGCATGTTTAACTTTTTCCTGTACACATTTAACATTTCAAATGCTTGATTAATTTTTTTATAAATTTGATGTGATGTTTTTTATAATATACTTGAAAGTTTAAACAAAAGTGAAAAAAGTGAAAAAAAAACAGAAGGGAAAGGAGGTTGTTGCCTCCTGCGCGACTAGACCGGCCCATCTGGCGCTCGTCTTCTCGCGAGGCTGCGCTACCTCTCGTGATGAGTAAGACATAGGCACACTGTGGGGGCTGCATGATAGGAAGCTATCTGCTGACCCGCACGCTAATTTTTTTCTATTTTTTTGAGACAAACCTACAAAGCTTTTACCCATCACAAGATTTACAGGGACGAAATCAAGGTTTCCAGGTTGGCCTAACCAAACATGGCGACTAGTTCCCATAGATAACGCATGCTTTGCAAGTTTGTGAGCCTCAACATTTGAGGTCCTAAATTCATGACTAATCAAACAAGAAGAAAAAACTCTAGAACGATCTATGATTTCATGTACCACCACCTCATATTTCGCCAATGTGCCATTCTTGGTTGCTTATACGGCCACATTGCAGTCACATGCAACTGAAATTTTATGCAGATAGAGATCATCAGAAAGAGCCAGTGCTTCGCGTATTGCCAAAGTTTCCAAAACTTATGGCTAATATGAAGGTTCCCTCGCCACTAGTAGAAATCAGGGATTTGGTTCGGCCAGAAAAGAGCATTAATCCCGGTTGCATTACGAACCGGGACTAATGTGAGTATTAGTCTCGGTTCGAGCGGCTAGGGCACCGTATAGGCATTAGTCCCGGTTCAAATGGGACCTTCAGTCCCGGTTGATGCCACGAACCGGGACTAAAGGGTGCGATGCCCATTAGTACCGGTTTGTGGCACCAACCAGTACTAAAGGTTAGACCTTTAGTCCCGGTTCGAGCCACCAACTGGTACTAATGGGTATGAGGCATTAGTACCGGTTCGTGGCACGAACCAGTACTAAAGGTCCCATTTTCAAACTCTACCCCCAGCCCGTGGATCGCCTTTTCAGTTTTGTAAAAAGCAAAAGAAAATGATAAAAACTTCAAAAATTAAAATCCTTCAAGATGTAGTTATGTTACTACATGTACTAGTTAGGAAAATTCAAAAACTTAAATTTGGACATGTTTTGCAAAAAGTGTAGGGAAAATGTAAAACGGCTATAACTTTTGCATACGATGTCAGAAAAAACATATAATATATCAAAATGTTCAGCACGAATATCTGCATCCGATCACCAAGGGGCTCCCTGGGTGACTTTCTCCCAATCACCAATACAATCAAACTGCATGATGAACAAGTTCTCCTCTAGGGTTTTGATCTTTACTGGCCTCGCCAAGTCCCACGCAGAGCACATGTTACGGAAGAGCCAGTAATTGCTAAAGTCCTTGTCCATGTGAACTCTCACCAGAATCATCCACCGGAGACTCGCTTTCACCAGAGCGTCCTCCTCATCAAAAACTACATCGTCAAGATCATCCTCCTTTATCGCGAGTTCCTGCATTAGATCCTCTAGCTTTCCCCTGCCCTTGTCGGCAGAAGACGATCCCTTGCTGCGATTTGCCATGATCCGATCTACCGATCCGATCTCCGGAGTAACACCCCTCGACTTCCCCCAGGACAGGAATCCTTGACCAAGGCCGGGCAGCGGTCTCACGACCACCCCGTCGTTAGCCCGAGCCAAAAGACCCCGATCGTAGGGAGAGGAGGGAGATTGTTGTCTCAACGTTGCCAATTAAAACATCGTTGAAGAAAATTTAGAAATATTCATGAATTTAAAAACTATTCAGAAATGTGAAAAATCTGCATGAGTTTTTAATGATT